ACGCGGGACTAACGCTAGGGAGAAGAGGAAGAGGAAGAGGAATACTGAAAGCTGTTCTGTTTCTTACTGTTGCTTTGACGCTGCATTTCGAAAATTTCACAAGAATGCTGGTTAATAGCAAAAAACCCCCGTACGATACGGAAATCGAATGTGCACCTCTCGCTTTTTGCTCTAGCCTCACCAACGAGAGGTGCAAGTTCAATTGTCGCCTACGGAAATTGATCACACACCTCTCGTTGGTGAGGTGAATTTCGCTCATAACCCAGTATCTTGTGATACTATTCCAGTTTTCGATTGGACTCATGAAATAAATTCTGGTGAAGGGAAATTTTACTAACGTTTTGCGAAAGCTTTATGAAGACAAAGTTTTAGAGAAGATCTCGAATTTTCTCTCCGCATTTACGTTAAAGGCAGCGATTACGATAAATTGAAGAAGGACTTCAGTGTGACGTGGTGGTGCTCAATGGTACGCCAGTGGCGAAAAAAGCAGAAAAATCCGTCAAGAAAACGCAAAACGGGACCCCTTTTTTGGCCGTTGGTTTTCACTCATGAACAGGTAACAGCTCAGAAAGCGGACGTATGAACGAGTTCACCGCAACGCGTTTGATGGCACCATGCCAAACCACGCTTTAATCGAGATGCTCCAGTTGTGCCGCTGCTGGCAACGCAGCTCGTCCAAATCACCAAGTAAACTAGTGGGCGGATCGCTTTTGGGGGCGGAGCGCTTTCGAAGTCCTGCTCAGCAACCAGCGCACCTTTCGTTGTGAAAGCGCCACATCTCGCTTCCCTGGCAGCCAAGTAACTGATTCGTGTGGCTTCCCCGATGCGCTCCCTCTTTATCGTAATAGCTTCTTTTAAGCAGTCGCAATCATTACCAAGGCTCATGTCACGAGGAATCTGATCGTGATCGCTATATCTTCAAAAAGTGCACTGCAAGTTTGGTATGCCATAAACGTAGGGTGTTTAACACATTCACGCCGATGGCCGCCCATATGGGCTGCCAACTGATAATCGCTTGCCAGGCGCTAGGAATGGACAGATAGGTGGGCAAACCTCGTAATCGAGTGTAAAATGCTTTTAAATTCCTTCACGGGGAAAGTGAATAAATGCTCTCTTTTCGTAACCACTATTTGTCGTTCTGATCGAAATCCTACTGTTATATTTAGATAATCTTTACGCATTGGACATTGCAGAAATTATTTTGTGACATTCATGTTTTTGTTCATTTACAAAACAAAATCTGCGGTTATGTGGTGAGGCGGCGGCGCCCACAAAATCGCGTCCGTCCCACGCGACCGAAAAGTGGAAAAGGGGCGTCGTCGTGAATGTGTTAAAACACTACAAATGAAACTATATTTAGTGAAACGGTCAGTGTATTACAAGTGCATGAGTACGCTTCAACATATGCGCTTACCTGATATCATTTTTGATCGTTGCATATCCACTCGAACAAACCAGACACCAATAGCGATGATTCCTATTACCAGTAAACAAGTGATTGTGTAGATCACAATCAGCCATGCTGACCACATCTGAAATATATTTGAAATTGATAAAATTGATAAATAAGAAAAATTTAAACTAGAAAATCGTAGGATAACACCGAATGCAATACATGGCGTTTAAGTACAACGTGTTTAAATGAAATAGAAGCGAGAAAGGGTCGTATAACTAGAACTTCTTATCACGCGATAAGTACGAGCGGATCCAAAAAGCATTCACTAAGTGTTTTTGAATACAGGAGAGCGAGAGCTAAGCTTTAGAAACAAAGAGAATGGCTTGCAGGAATCTCGCAGTAAGGAAATAGTTGGCATCTGGAAAAAGGAGATCCTCGTGTCCTGCAATCAAAAGGTCACACGTCCTTTCAGAATCTCGATAGCCTTCGGGAAAATACACGACTGAATTATAGGGTTTCGAAGCAGTCTAGTGGGTGTTAATGTTTCGAGAAGAAAACGAATAATCATCAATGACAGCGCGAACTAAATTTTTACTACATTGCTTTATCTTATATAATCATTAGGTTCTTCTTCTTCTCCCTAGCGTTAGTCCAGTCGCAGGATCCGCTTATATATATATAAATTAGCATCTAAATGCATCCAGCTGATAGCTCTCGGATACCTCGAGCAAGCTAAAAGTAAAACATAACTAAAAATACCCGGAAATACGAACAAATGGCGTGCCCCGACATGAACCATTTTAAGAGTTGTGTCATTACGCATACTTCTACAAAGTTCCGTCTTTCAAGTTAATCCTGGAAACGTTTGGCTCTTATATCATAGCCAAAGTTAGAGACTCTCATCATTTTTTTTGCTTTGACAGCAGTTATGTCAACATCGCGGACCGAGGGAAGGGCCCGATTTGATACTATTGGAAACGGAGTTGTACTATGGGTACGAATTTTTGGAAGACAAGCCAAGACAAGAAGAGCCGTTTGGTTGTAAACACTTTTTTTAAATAATTCGTAGATCTTGGAAAAGGAGAACATTTGTAATTCAATTGATTTGTCTTATCGTTTATGCCGCATAATCCCCACCCCCTTCTTAGTTGATCAACACCAGTTGAACGTAAAAATGTGGGAGAGAGGAGGGGGACTGCATATCTGAGGTTGGTCAAACGCCACTGTTGACCTAATTGGAATATTTCAAATTTGGAAAAATACAGTAAAACGCTGCGCTTGCTTCTGCAGAACACAGAAGCTATGGAACCACTAATAGTTCGTATCTATATATACTGCAATTTTCTTTAATTAATTATTGTGACTCACGGCAGTATATCCAGAGTATAAAAATAGCGGTCACAGTAAAGGCACTAGTCGATTGCTTGCTTTCGTATCCTCCGTAAATTGACTACGCGCCAGATAGAACATGTCCATGAAAAACAACACGTAAGTTGAGTCAACGGGCAATGTATGTATAAAGCCAGCCACTGAGAGGATACTGCCTTGGCGACCTCGAAGAATTACAACTTGTGGAACAGAAGAGGAGTTCGCCAAAATATTGAGCTAATCGATGATTGCTCGAACGTGTGAAGAAAAATGAACATTTCCATCGAGTGATCGATATCCCTAATAATTGTAAAGAGTCGTAGAAATTGTTCTCAGATTGTTTCGAAAGGGGAACTATGGCGAGAAACGAAAAATTCGTAGAAATAGCATTCCGATCACTTCTTGCTGTTGAATCGGCAATGAGCACGATAGCGGCGACATTTTTGTGTGGAAAGAATAAGCTATGAAAGTCGTCACTTTACATGACCTGTAACTAAGTAGTTGTACCTGCACGTGTCAATAGACAGAGACTCCAGGCAGGGCCTCTGACACTTTATTTTCTTTCTACTTTACGTTATTGCAGTCGGGTGCTCTCTGCTTCTTTGAAGTTGGATCGAAGAAGTTGAATTTTTCTCAGCGTATGCCCGCAGAATTCCATTCTTCTTGAAAGGTGGTTGTGTTTGAAAGAAAAATAGAAATGGGAATATCTGAGTGGCGGAAATATTGGCACACATATTGTATGCACAGAAGTGTAACTTACAAATCTAAAAATATTTATATCGTGAAGAAAAATATTTCGTTGTTCTAATTGCTGCTGGAATTTTAAACAAATTTTACCTCACGAAACGAACGATATTACACCAACATATTCGAATAATTGTCCAAAACGTATTCGACGCTCCTTTCAACCAATGCTTCCCATTTACTTGGCAGTAGTTCGATTCCACGGGGGGAGAAGTCACGATCCTTGAAGAAGATCCACGCTCTAACATCGGACACCAAGTCATCCAGCTCGTCGTAAATTTTGTTCGTCTTGCCAGTTTTCCAAACGACTGATCGAAGTGGTAGTTGGAGCTGAGGCCGGTAAATATGGCTTCTGAACCTCTCGAACCAGCTTTCAACTTGGTTTTGCTGATTGCTCTCTCGCCGAAAAGCTCGTTGAGATCGCAAAATTACTCGGCCGCCTTAGAATCTTTCCCGAAGTGGTAGAGCATATGTAGGGAATATGAATATGGATTTTCTCCTATGGTCTTTAAAGCAACAATCCAGGAACGAATTCGCGGGTAAGGACCACCTATAATGACGTTGCAGGTGAGAAGTTGGTCAATGGAGAAAGAAAAAGTAAAAAAAACGTCGGGCAGGGGCTTAGACAGGGACTCCCCCTGCCGTTTAGGGAGATGTGTGTTGGACGAGTTGTCCGAACCTGCCCGTAGTACATGCGCTCCAGTTGACTGCTGGCAAATAGCCATGCATGCTTGCAAATACATAACTATGTGCAGCAATCGAAATTGAAGCGCTTCAATTGCTGTTCTTATGGAATCGACCTCATACAGCGCGGCGGTCCCGCAACGACCGCTAGTCGAGCAAGCGCTCTGCACAGCTGCTTGGAGGCGGCCCCACCACGGATCGGTGGATCCGCCCCTCTTGAAGGATTTCGACTGCTTCCAACGCCTTTCAGAGGTAAGTTTTGAAGTTTGTGACATTTCCCATGAACTCCAATCAGGCTGAGGCATGTTTCCACCACTTGAAAACCAAATGGTTGAAACCCTGCCTGGACTGTTGCTTTAAGAAAAAGAGAAGAACATTCTCATGAAAGAATAATGAATAGAAGCAAATCTTTTCGAAGAAGGCGCAAAAAAATCTGCAATAATTTTACATCAACCCGAAAATTTATCTGGAAAATAGATATTCAAGCATTCATGAAACAGAGTGCGAAACTCTTTCAAGGTGTATAGAGTAAAAATTAGGGCATAGATCATATAGCACAAGCCAGCACATTTCTCTTACAGGATAGACTCATTAATGAATTTTTCTGAATGAGAATTGAATTAATGAATAAGATCGAGAAAGAGAGGTCCCAGATAGCGCCCCGAAATCAACCAAGAAATAGGTAACCTTCTTTGCCCTGAAGCCTTTTTCAAGGAAAAATCTCAATGTTATAATTTGTAGATCCAATCATTTGCTAGCTGTAACACACCACTACCGAGCTTCTCGATTCTGAAAAAGCCTAGATTAGGCATATTGATAATAATTTCTGGTAAGACAGCGGAAAAATATGATCAGGAAGATCAATCGGTGCGATGGCTATGACACACACCTGTGAGCAAATTCACGCACACGCCCGACCGGAAATTCGGTCTCACGTCTTCGTCGTTGCACCGGTGAGTCAGCAAGAGAACTCATCGATGAACCATCACAACAAGAAGAGGATACTCCCCGCTAACCTTGTTCAGCTGTTTCTCGAAGGACTCAGCAAAACATTCACATGAGGTAAACGGCGCGCGCGCAGAAGGGCGAGAGGGCTAACGAGGTAAGATGAATAACACCAAACTAGTTTCCATCTATACTTCGGAGAAATTCCTGGCATTCCAGTCGCTCCAGCTAAGAGTGCCTCGGTTGAGGTTGCCTTGGAAATTCCTTCTGACACATATAGCTTGATTTTGTAGTTTTCAACGATATTTCGCTATAAGTAAATAAACGCGACAACACAAATAATCATGGCGTTGGTTATCCTGTATCTATGAATCAGAATGCGCTTCTTCGAACTGATATATAAAAAAATCATTACACATTTTATATCCGACTAGAAAATCTGACAACAGCGTCGCTGTGCCCTTTTGTTATTTTTTCTGCTTTTCGATATAACTACGCCTCGTATAGTTTCCCATTGTTCATCATTTTCTTGAAAACAATCAACAAAAGGCCGAAGTTGTGTAGTGGACAAGTGATGTCTGCCGGCCAGCGTCCGTGAGATAATAATCACTGGATCCCTGTCTGTTCGAACCAAGTCTTTCCTCCCCTGAGGTCGATTAAGTGACATACTCCTGGGTGTAAAAAACTTCCCCATCCACGCGAACCTAATTCCGGCCCCGCAAGTCGTGTCAGGCATTCAACTGCCAGGCCAACATTCTTGGGGGAGTAAATGCGTGGTGGCAGGCTCAAAAGGATTGATCCCGCAAACATCATTCCTTTATCTTATCAACTTATTCCCATTCTCCTAATCTATTGATCTATTCCGCTACTGTAACAAGAGCGTACGAGGTGCTTTCCATATCCGTTCAAGGGGGACTTACGGTACTCCTTGATGCGCCGAAAAAGCGCAAAGATAGCGCTTCATATAGGAATCAAAGCCTCTGAGTGTAATAATTTCAGGTCATAACCGGACATAAATGCCGTCTTATTCGTACTTTCCTAGAACTAGTGTTTCCTGTTTAAACTTCATCACAACAAGCCCTGTGGAAGTCATTCTGCTGAAGTAGAAAGGCAGGAAATTAACAATTTCACTTAAGATTAGGATTTCAAGACCAGTATTACTCTAGTGTACGGGCCCAAAAAGAATCGCTTATTAGGATATCTCCAAGCTAGTTGTTGTTAGTTGGCGAACTCTTCGAGAATTAATACTAACTCTTTAAAAATTAATAAATAATTGCTTATCGTTAATTGTAAGAGCGATGGAATCGCAAAAAGCGAGCCTTTGTCCATGCGACAAAGCAAATGCTGAAGAAGTGGGTGCTTTTTGTGTGCAATCCCCATAACTGCGATCGTAAGAAAACAGTATGAAGGCCGTTGAATAAAGATAGACATAGGTCGTAACTGGAGTACTGCGGGACTCACACATCACAGTTTACGCGAATCAATAGATAAACAATGACGGTCCGTCATTATTAAGATGATAAGGGCTCGTGCACGAAACAAAACCACTGATGCTATAGTTTTGCCGTAGATAGCGAAGAACGAAAGTGGAGCGCTAGAGAATTGGAAGGGTCCTACGGAATCACTTGCGTATCATGATTCAAAAGGGATTGAGCTACTCTCAATCTCAAGCATTTCAGGACGTTGTGCTCATAGTGTAATAAATAGTAGCAATGAGCCATTGACGCGAAGAAAAAGGAGTGAGGTATAGTTTTGCTGGCAGTATAAATTTTCAAAGAAATTGCAAAGGATGCTGATGATGTCTAAACATTCAAGTAAACACGAATCAATACTTTACTGGATTTTGTTGTTGAAGGTGCCTCCAACATAAAAAAACTTGCCTTTTTAAACATTTATGTTCAGAGCTGGCGACGCTCCTTCAAAGTGAGCGGAAGTGTGTATAAAGGGAAAAGGATGATTGGAGAAGTGGTTCTATCATGAGAGAAGTCATTTCACATCTACCACGATATGACAGTCATATGCTACAAGCCAAATCACGTTTTTTTGATATTTATGGAAACCAATATAGACACTTCAAAGATTATTAAGGTCTATAGCCTCTTTGAATGGCTCAGCTGATGTTGATGACATTGGATATTTTCTTCCTTTGGCGCATTTAAGAAGATTTGTCGAATAAGTTGGTCTTCAGTTAGCAAAATTCATAACAAGCTGGTTTTTGGCGTAAAAGGCTAACAAAAATGCTTAATAAAGGCTTAGTTTTACAAGATATATTGTAAAATTTGTTTCGAATGCCATTTCGTAGGGGTTCTGCTACGAACAGGTATAATTATGCATGTGAAGACTTTTTAAGGACCTCGAATAGCTCAGGCGTTCAAACTCCAGAATGTCTTTATTTCGATTTTTAATCTCCATCTCTTCATACTCAAATTTACCATTCCAATTTCCAACTATATCGTGTTTAGATAATGTAATATATATTGAAGCTTGGAGCTGCGAATATATGGCCGCATAATACACTGGTTGTCAACTTAAGGACCGAAGTAACTTTCACATGATATCTCACTGCTAGTTAACCTAGGTGGACCAAATTTGGCACATATATAGAAGTAAATGTTGCGGTACAGTGCAGAGAGTTACTAACAGAAAAGCGCAAAGGGGCGATTGGAAAAGACATTTTTCTGCAAATACCCTGTCTGAAGCGGTCGATAGGTGAGGCTTCTCCAACTCATGGTAGACATTCAAAAGAGAGGAGCTAGTTCTTGATGGGGTGTATGAACACTACGGACTGCAAGGTATGCTCTGCTACGTGTTCCCATACAGGCCGTAAGATTAGTTAAGAGTTCTTGAGGAGAAGTGACCGATTCCTTGGAGACCGCGATTGACAACTGCAGGACTATTGTTGGCACATGGTCATGTGCTACAATAGCTCATCTGAATCCACGCCACACGTGCTCCATAGAATTAGACTGGAGGAAATAAATGGCTTCACCAATTACCGAAAATCCTCACTTTTCAAGAGTTTTCCACCCAGGCTGCTCGATACTCTCGCACACTGCCCTCCATACGATTGAAGCTGAGGGCAAGGGAACCCTTGGAAAGATGCACATGACAGAAGGGTACAACACCACAATCACGTTGATCAGAAAGTGTAACGCGATCATGAGTTGGGGATCAGTACGCCCCGACAACTTTATGCCTCCCCACATCATGTCGCATGCACTACCAAAACAATCATGTTAAACGATGGTCCTGGGTAGATTACACGTTCCTATTTTCCCCATATGCAGGTAAGTCCAGAATCACTACTCACATTCAGTTTGCTCTTGACCGGGAAGAATACGCGATTTTTCAATTCGGTGGTCCATCTCCAATGTCTCGGCTCGTACCAAATGTCCCAGCCGAGGCGTGGATTTCAAATGAATACAGGTATTGTTGATCGATGAGAGAGATCACTCCTAGGCGGTCACTGCGCCACTGTCCGGACTGGGATTACATGCCTTACAATCCTGATAAATGTTTTTGCAACTGCAGCATGTGACTGACGTGGGTCCATTTTTGCCTGTAGCAAAACCTAGCAATCACCTGCTGCTGCGGTTGTTCGTGACCCACAACCTCCTCTTCTTGGGACAGCAGTGGCTGCGGTCCACATTGCTTCTCATGCACAAAAAACAATGCTGTGGTTGACACAAAACTCCTGGACACAACTTCCTTTTTTCAGTTTCCCAATGATTCTTCCTCGCGTAAAGTCACCCTAGTGTTGTCTCTGAGACTTGATGTAATCAAGAACACCACTACATTCCACAGTCACTTCTCCCTGCTTAGTTTCACCCCTCTTGTCCTGCCCCACGATACCCATCGTTCTGGGTGGCCACCCCATTTAGGCTCCAGATTGAAGCCGGATGCAAGACATATGAGGCCCACTTCGGTGCCCATGACTGTAGGGCTTCTAGCATTATGCCCGTACAGTTTCATCCAATTCCATCTAATTGTTAATAAGTTAGGACAATTTATCTATCTGGTCCTTAAGTTTTGCACACCAGTGTATATTTAAATTTCATAGCAGAACTCTAGAGGTATGATTCCTTAGGTATGGACTTTTCCTATGCTCGACTATTTTCTTACATTTTCTTTCTGTATTTCCTTATTTAATTTTTTGCTGTCCTTCAGCAAAAAAAGTGCTACTTATTCTCCAACGTGCATAATACGTAGAAGTTCACTACATTTTACGTTTACTTCGTTACCATTGTTTGTTCGTGCACTTTAATTCCTCTTAGGAGATAACATTAATAATATAATATACTGATATAACATATAACATGTACATGCCAAGATTCAAGGTTGTTGCAGAGAAACGTCTAACTGAGGAATACGCCCTTATTGAATCAAATATGGGTGCGAAAAATAGTGTTAATGCAGTCTAAAGCGTGCTAGGTGAATAACTCTTGGTGATCCTCAAAAGGGGTTGAGGAAAAGTACCCCGTACTACTTCTGAAGCTACACGGGGCTTTCCCCCTTGAAAAGGAGGAAGTGAGACAGTGAAAAGGATAAGCAGTATGGAAAAACATTCATATAAATAATCACTCTGACTGTAGGTTACAAGTTTAAGTCTACGTCGAGCTGAGCTCTGAAAGCGAATAATCGAAAATTGAAAATGCCCAATAATTACACTCCAAATCTCGAAGTCTGATTGGGCGTGTCACCGGAAATGACGTGGCAGCCACCGCACTTGATAGAAATTGCGCGGATAAGCTGCTTCCAGCATGCTTCGCTGATATCTGGCGGAGTATCTTATCCACGTGGCATCTAGCAAGTGCGATGGCTGCCACGTCATTTCCGGTGACACGCCCAATCAGAGTTCGAGATACGACTGTACTTTGTATCTGGTGAAACTCCAGTTCGGGGGGGCCACTCCATTGCTATCTTATCCGTAGTACTAGAGAGCAGTTCTTTGGGCTATCGAACACTACGGATAAGATAATAAGTGAACGACTCATTTCGAGCGTACTTTTGATAAGGACCGGTGGATGTCC